GTTAATTTTTTGTTCGCTTTTTTATAAACATGAGCGGTTGAACTACTTAACACTCCCTGCTTAAAATACCCCATAGAGACCCTGTTCAAACCGATAGATATTTGTATCGGAATGTATGGTGTTTCTATAGGGTGTATCGGTTTGTATAGGACCCATAGTTGGGATTTATGGTTGTTCTATAGGGATATCCACCGTTGATTTATTTGCTATTGGTTTCAATGGGGAAAATACACATAAATGTAGAAATAAGTTTTTCCCCCATAGGACCCCATAGGTTTTAATAAAAAAAATTTCAAATGTTTGATGGTTGTTCTTAGGGATATATCCCTATATATATATATCCTTCATTGAGTTATTTGCTATCGGTCTCAATAGGGAAAATGTAAAAGTTATGGTGGTAATTTCCTATAAATTTTCTATCGGGCCGTATCCGGAAAAAAACATGGACAAATGCACATATTGAATCCGGTAGCGCCCGATAGATTATTTTATATAGGTAGGTCTCTATGGGGTATTTTAAGCAGGGAGACCTATACAAAATAATCTATCGGGCGCTACCGGATTCAATATGTGCATTTGTCCATGGTTTTTTCCGGATAGGGACCGATAGAAAATTTATAGGAAAATACCTATAGGCACACCATAACTTTTACATTTTCCCTATTGAGACCGACAGCAAATAACTCAATGAATGATACATAGCTATACAGGGTGTCTCACCAGCGATGGTACCTTAGACGTTTACGGAGAACGGCTGAGGATATCAATTTGAAATTTTTATAGCAATTATTATACAATTTAATCTACCTTTTAAAATTATTTTGAATAAAATTCCTCTTCCGGTTTAACCGCCCAGATAGCACAAGATAACCCACAGACGTCCTATTTAGGTAATTCTCGGCTTAGCCAGACCTAACGGGTCTGGGACATCCATAGAACGTCAAGTCTAGACCCTGTCCGGCTTAGCCTGATTAGGCGTATTTTGGACGTCCAAAGTAAGCCAAATAAGGCTTAGCCGGACCAGGTCTATAATTGACGTTCTATGGATGTCCCAGACCCGTTCGGCCTGGCTAAGTCGAGAATTACCTAGATTGGACGTCCCTGCTCACACAGCACAGGATGTCCAAATGACGTCCATTGGACATCCTTTGAACATCTTGTACTATGTGGGTGCACCCATGGGCTATCATGCCTAAACTTTTCGTTCAAGAAATTTCGGATATGTAATAAATTGTGGGTAATATTAAATATCATGTACAAATTATATAAACCACCTATTTTTATGAGGTTTCTCTTTTGCCTTCTTTGGATGTTCGTGGGACAGCCTGAGGGTGTCACAGAGAGTCAATCAAATCGATTAGCCTTATTATAAGAAAGATTAATTTACAAAAAAAAAAATTATTATTGAATATAGGTAGTTTATAATACATATTCGTACTATTCGTCGGGATTTATACATTTATATTTAATTTAAAATTTCTTGTTATCACGTAAAGGTAGTAAAATCCATTATTGCATCATTTTTAAATTCAATTAAATTCTATTACCATTGATTAATAAGTTCACTACTTCTTTACTCAACGCTATTAAGTTTAAATGTATAAAAACACCGTTATTATAACGTATAGTTTTAAATTTTAAACATCGGTCTTCTTCGGGTAGAACCGAACGGGTTCGTGACGACGCTTCCCATAATCCGTTGCAATGGCGTTCTTTTGCTGTGTGATGGCGTTTATGGCGGTGTTTCTACATTGTGTGTTGTGATTTCTACTAGGTATTGGCTGTTTATAGACTTGTAATAGAATAAATTCAAGTAAGTAATTAGATTAGGTTTGTTTTGACTAATAGACTGTACCACACAAACAAAATTTACGGTTGCACTGATAATTGGGCGTAAACAAATCGTGAAAACAAGGATTTAAAAAAAAATATTTTATAAAAACACATTTTTATTGTTTTTACTTTCCAAGGGATTTCTTTCTATACTTTCTAAATTTTATTTTATCCTCCCAAAGCCCTACATCAAAATTTTACAACAACCAAACTACAAAGTGAGGTTATCATTTTTATTGTTATCTAGAAAAGCTTTTATTTATTTAATATCTAAGAAAGCTTTTATTCCTATTTAACCGTGAATTTTTTTTATGTGGTGCTCATGATCTCATATACCGTTCCTTCATTTGCAAGCTATACATAGCCTATGTCAAAGGGAAAATACATTGTAGGTGGACCAGACAAGTTGAAGTCAGCGCAAAGCAAGGAATGTCTGAATTTCGAATTTACCGGCAGTGGACGTCCAATGGATGTCATTTGGACACTGAGATGTCCAGGGGATATCCTTTGGACGTCCTCTGGACATTTGTGCTGTAATTATAATATAGGTGAATAAAAATGTTTGGTTAAAAATTTTAGGTGTTTTAGTTTTTATTCCTATCAGCCAAATTATGGCCAAATTTGGTCCTAGGACAGTCTTTAATAGACCATTATAGGACGGCCAAAGGACAACCAAAAGTGTCTACTTTGGAAGTTCTACGGACGTCCATTCGTGGTCTTCGGATATCCGTAGGACGTCCACTATGTCCTGGGTTGACGTCCTAAGGATATCCAGTGGACGTATGTGTGCTATCTGGGCGGAAGCTACATCAACTTTATTATTTCCAACGGAACACCCTGTAAATTTTTTTATTTTTAAATTCCTCATGAAATTCTTAATGAAATTGCTGTACCATTTCCTATACCTAAACTTAATTGTTTTCGAGTTAATAATTTTTTTCGTAAAATTTTGACAGTTGTACCTTCATTAAAAATTGCTTATAACTTTTTTGATATTCGGTTTGCTGGTATGTTGTAAGGATTTTTGGTATCTTAAAACATTGTTTTAAAGATTCCATGTCTGAAATTTTCATATTTATGATCAAAAACCAGAGAAAAATCGTGGTAAATTTGGTTAACTTCAAACATTAATAACTTGTTTATTTTCAATGGAACGGTATGCATGTTTTTACATATTCAAATAGGAAAATGAATTACATTTTGATTGGTATAACCAATGGTTATTAACCATTCCCTATACCTAAATAGTAAGGTTTCGCAAATACAAGCAAATTTCTGTAAAAATCCAATATTTTGACATATTTATCTCAGATACCGATGAAATGTCACAACAAATTAGTTATGTCATTGATTGACAGTTGATAAATTTCCAAAAGCGTTCAAAAATTAAATAAAATGGATAGAAACAACTATTCCAATGAGGTTTTGATGCAAATAGGAGGGCCACAACGGAATCTCCCAGGCACCGCATTTTAAAATGTTTGCAAGTCAATGGTCGCCATTTTGAACATTTATTAAAATAGTATTTTGGTTGTTATTTTTTACATCGCGTTTTTTATAATTTATGATAATTAAATTCTTAAAACTTTGTTTAATTGTTGTTTTCCATTATTTTTAAAATATCTTCTTTAAGAAATGTATCAACTGTCAATCAATGACATAACTAATTTGTTGTGACATTTCATCGGTATCTGAGATAAATATGTCAAAATATTGGATTTTTACAGAAATTTGCTTGTATTTCCGAAACCTTACTATTTAGGTATAGGGAATGGTTATACCAATCGAAATGTAATTCATTTTCCTATTTGATTATGTAAAAACATGCATACCGTTCCATTGAAAATAAACAAGTTATTAATGTTTGAAGTTAACCAAATTTACCACGATTTTTCCCTGGCTTTTGATCATAAATATGAAAATTTCAGACATGGAATCTTTAAAACAATGTTTTAAGATTCCAAAAATCCTTACAACATACCAGCAAACCGAATATCAAAAAAGTTATAAGCATTTTTTAATGAAGGTGCAACTGTCAAAATTTTACGAAAAAAAGTATTAACTCAAAAACAATTAAGTTTAGGTATAGGAAATGGTACAGCAATTTCATTAAGAAGTTCATGAGGAATTTAAAAATAAAAAAATTTACAGGGTGTTCCATTGGAAATAACAAAGTTGATGTCGCTTCCGGTTAAACCGGAAGAGGAATTTTATTCAAAATAATTTTAAAAGGTAGATTAAATTGTATAATAATTGCTATAAAAATTCCAAATTGATATCCTCAGCCGTTCTCCGTAAACGTCTAAGGTTCCATCGCTGGTGAGACACCCTGTATATCTAGGGATATTCCTATAGAGCAACCATAAAACATTTGTCAAAATTTTATTAAAACCTATAGGGTTCTATGGGGGAAAAACTAATTTCTACATTTATGTGTAGTTTCCCCATTGAAACCAATAGCAAATAAATCAAGGGTGGATATCCCTATAGAACAACAATAAATCCCAACTATGGGTCCTATACATACCGATACACCCTATAGAAACACCATACATTCCGATATAAATATCTATCGGTTTGAACAGGGTCTCTATGGGGTACTTTAAGCAGGGTTCCTTCCTTCTGTAAAAAATGAACAATACAAAAATCGTAGTGCCATTTATAGATTCCCGTACAGCACAACGGTAATTGTGGATAATTAACAGATAGTCTGGTTCTCATGTGCACATACAAAATTCGTTAGGATATGAAATTTATCTTTCCGAGTATCTTTCTTAATTTAATCAAAATACCTACCTACGCGTTTTAGGGCTCTTCTGAAAAATTGCTGTTTTTACTTAACGCCTTATGCTTTTTACCCTTAGAAATTATATGTTAAAGACAAACTTTTTCTGAAATAATTTTAAAAATAAATCGGTTATGGTTATGGTGTATGCAACCAAGATTTCGCACCCACCTGTTTAGTACCTGTATTTGTTGCTCCTTTGTGAGTCAGACTTTACAAGAAAACTGGTTTGTTAAGTTCAGCAACTATTATTGTAATTAAATCGTGATACAAATTAATCTGTGATTTTTTACCATTTGGCACACAAAAGGTACGTTGGTTTTTTTACATAAAACTTAAAATATTTTATAAAAATCTTATATTTTGTATGGTACCATATATGGGAAAACCCATCTATACCTACCTCATAACAAAAAGTGGGATTTTTTGGTGTAATTTTGGGAAACAATTGGTTATATTTTAAGTTAATTCTCGTTTGCATGTTCCTAAAACCACATAATCTCGGCAGTGGGTCTTTTAATATTCTAGTTTGGTTTCAAAACTTAAACAAAAGGTAAGAACATTTAATATGCATGTCCTGTAACCGTTGTGTAAACAATTGTGAAATAATTTTATTATAAGTAATTGTTTTCGGCTTAAATCTATAGGTTTAATTAATTTTACTACTTAGTAAATTAAATTAACGTATTTTTAAACAAGGCTAAATAAACTAAGCAACAAAAATTAAGTAGGTACCTAGCTACCTACCACAAAAATAAAATCTACCTACCACCCTTTAGTTGTGTAAATTTTTTACTTTCTATAATATATTATACATTGTGTCCAGAAAATGCCGGACGAATGCCCATGCTACGCGTTATTTTAAGCATAAAAATATTTTTTTTCTGAAGAGTATATTTTGAATTCAGCATTTAATTAAAAAGAAAACTAGTCTGCACTATGGGGCGCCGTTTTATTTTTTATTCAGGAATTAATTTTATGTGTAATAGAGTAATATTTTTAATTAGATTTTGCGAATTAATAATATCATATATGATATGCGAATTAATAATATCATATATGATATCTATAGAAGATATTTTAAAATTACATTTAATTTTTATGACAAACTGATATTTTTAATTTAGTATATTTAAAATATAGGTATGCTTCTTATATTTGTATTTTTTCTTAAACACATATTTTTAATTTGCTTAATTAAAAATTAGAATTAATACTATGCCAAACTGATATTTATTGTTTAGTATACTGCCTTTCTAATCAAGATTCTGACAGGATACAGCTTTTACAAAATTAATGTATACGTCTCATATGCGCTCTCTAAAAGTGAAACAGTGAAATTTTCACTATTTCCTTCAGTGAGATATTATTCACTGTAAAATTAGTGTTTTTGAATATAAATTAGTAAAATTTTAACTTCTCCAAATTAGTGTTTTTTATTATCACTACTTTTCCGGAACTCTCGACATAAAATAGTGAAATTTTAACTTTTTTGAACTAAACCTATTTCACTAATTTGTACAGTGTAATTTCCACTAAATAAATTAGTGCAAAGAAATCGCTACATGAAAAAGTGAGTTTTCACTAATTGCTAGTGGTATACTTATCACTGCGGCAAATAGTTAATATGCACTGTCAATCAGTGAAAATCCACTGTTTCATTTTTAGAGAGCGGAATAAGAAAAAGACAAAGGGGCATTTCAGCAAATATGTCGCAATTGGGTTGGCTTAATAGGAAACAAAGCCTAATGCTGTACTATAGAATTATTAATTTGAATTGTCCCCCCTACCTGTACAGCAAAATTACTTTTGGTATACAGACATACATGTATTGAATACTAGACATAAAAATCGTATTTCTCCTCCCAGACATAAAACAGCACTATAATATCCGATATATATCAATGATATAATATTAATAATAATAATGATATATAATATATTATATCCGATATATATCAAGGGATATATATCTGCGAACCCTGGTTTTTTACATGATTATGATAACAGTTAATGTAAAAATTAGAATAAATAAATTTAATAAGAAGATTTATGCCTCTTGTGATAATTTTCTGTGCTTTTTGTATAAAGGTAGTACCTACCTACCGACATTAGCTGGCCATACACAGACGTTATTGCGCGCGGTTTATCGTGTTATCTGAAAAACATATGGAAAATCTTGTACGTGAGTGAGTATCGCCGCGCGCAATGATAGAACGGGAAGGGATTTCAGACGTGCTTTCCTCTGGAGTGTGGAGTGTCCACACGCCACATTCCGCGTCACGGTTTACCTTTGCTTGGCAAAATTTCACGTTGAAAATTTGTACATGATCACATGCAGTTTTAAACGACTCGATAAATGACACTTTTTGCCCACTCACATACGATTTTTCCTTTGAAACTGATATACCACGGGCAATCACTTGCTAAATCATTTTTTTTTATTGACTTTTAGTCTTTTTAAGACTATTTAGCCAGCTCATGATTGTTATTATTATTGTTTAATAAACAACTACAACACCCAAGGCTGTGACCGGGAATCGAACCCGGTACCGTTAGACGCAGATTGCTTACAGCTCTGTAGCTTAACCCACTGCGCCATCCTCGGCTAAATCATTTGAATACTTTATCAAGTGTATGGAACATGACGCTTTTTTTGCCATGCCGTTCTTTCGTGCATACTAACCGCTACATCCCAACACGCCACGATAAACCGCACGAAATAACGCCTGTGTATGGCCAGCTAATGGCGCACTAATATCATACCACAAAAAGGAAAGTGTTTTAAACTTAAATCATTAAAAAACTATTCGAGTATTCTTATGTTATTTTTCTGACTTAAAATAATCCAGCTTTCGCGTGGTAGGTATGGCTTAGTGTACAATTTTCGTAACGTACATTTACATTTGACTAAAAACTTGCAAAAAGTAAGGTCATCAAAAGTTTTGTACAGCCTTCGTCTGAAAAAAATATGCATATGCCCTAAAAATTCAATTTTTGTTGCTTAAGTAATTAATTAAACCATTTTAATTAAACTATAGTTTAATAAAATTTAAAGTTTTATTAGTAGAAAATATAAGCTTCAATTGAGTTTAAAGTAAATTAGTATATCTTTATTAAAAGTCAAAATTTAACACAGATTTAAATAATATAAAAATAACTGCTTTGTTGCGATTCTTAAAACAGACTAAAAAAACCTTAAAACTACCTCCTCAATATAGAGTATACAAAATAGCTTTAATTGCTTTTAGTTAGGGAGCTGGTGGCAATTTCGGTATATGATTTGCTCGTCGTTGGGAATGATATGTTATAGAGTTTTGATGCTTGTGAACTGAGTAAATAAGGTGGCAGGCTCAGGTATCGCTGCTTTTTTTTAAAGTAATTTTTAAAATTGTAAAAAATAAAACCTAACCTAAGTCATTTGCTTGTGTCTGGCATTTAGGTTTTATATTATATTGACCATATTGATACTAAAATAACATTTGCCAGACGCCGCGTTTTTTTTTAATAATTTTAAAAATGTAAAAAACAAATGCTCCATTAAGTGATTTGCTCGTCTTTATCTTATTTTTTTAATTGTTCATTTGTGTCCCCTAAATAAAAAAAAAAATGCAGACATGTATGTCTCTGCTTTTTGCAGCAAATAATTTTTAAAATTGTAAAAAATAATACCTAGCCTAAGTCATTTTCCTCGTGTCTGCCCTTTAGGTTTTATGTTAAATTGGCTATATAAATAGATACCTACTAAAAAAACATTTTGAGGAGTATAGGAAAAAACGTGCAAAGTCAAAAAACTTAAATTTTTAGAAGAGCAATTTTAAACTTGAATACTGTGTAATCTCTGAGTCCTTTTAAAAAACTAACTGCTTTTAGGAACTCTATTAAAACAACATTATGGTAAACAGTAATGTTAAGTGTAAAAAAAATTAATACCATTATCTTTGCTTTTTTAGCTACCATACCAAAAAATATCCAAATTGACTTTGCACGTTTTTTCCCTGTAGTCTTCAATTGTTAAATATTAATTTGTGTTATGTTATTAAACAAATTTGGCTATGTTCGGGTGCAAACTTGATATAAAATGTCCAATAATTATTATTACTAAAATACTCTATAAATTTTGCATACATTTTTTCAAGTTTGCGTATTTTCTTTTAAGTATTAACAATAATTTGGTCAACGGAAAAGGGTGCAAAACCGGATTTATCATTCTTATATCCTCTCCAATGTTATCTTAAAATTTGAAAACTTTCGCACTTTATTAGACCTTTTAAAAAATGTTTTTTTTTAAATTTCAATTAACATAATATAAAAATAACATGTTTGTACGGGGGTTACCAAACTTGGGGGGTTAATAGTATATTATGTATCAAGTTTTATAAACGCCATTTTAGTTACGAGTTTTATTAGGCACGAGCGAAGCTTGCGAGCAAGTGTTTAATAAAAACGAGTGTCTAGAGAAGTTTATAAAACGAGTTGCATACTATACTTTATCTACGACGAACAGAAATATCAATTTAAAGACAATTTTATATCATAAAATTTGACATTTAACAAATTTAACCTCACTTTTTCGCAATTTATAATAAAGATAACTTCAGCCCGTGACTAAAATGCCCAAAAGCCACTGTTATTAACTTCAGCCCGTGACTAAAATGCCATAAAGTCACAACTCGTCAATGTAGGAGTAGATAAAAGATCATATGACCCCATGACCTCATTTCAAATTTCAAGGTTATATTTTAAAAAATGCCTGTATTTAATTGCCCATAATAGGTAAAAAATAAAATAATAATAAGTACATAATAAAACAAATATGTTTGACCTCTAACCCCATACGGAAGTGTAACTGCTGGTCACCAAACTTGGGAAATCGAAAGATTACATGATTTTATGACCTTACAAATTTTAACGTTATAAGTAAAAAAAACCGCTTGTAATAGCCTTTTCTCAAAATACCTACCCTAACCTAAAAGCGTTCTGGCTATAAAAAATCAGCAATACTCATGTAGTTATATTCACAGTTCTGACATACAACAGAATAATTTAACCAAGAGCCAGACACGAGCAAATAACTTAATATTATTTTTTTTTTACAATTTTGAAAATTCTTCGTACATTATCGCAGTAAACATTAAATGGCAGACTTTTATTTTTTGCTTTTTTATGAACCAATTAACATTTTGTATAAATTTTATTGACGAGCAAATCATTTAACTATGATTTCGCGAAAGAATCGAACGATCGATTTACAACACATCTCAGATTTTTTTTAAATTTTAATATTTTGTTTATACATCCAATTTAACACTAAATCTAAAATTTTTCTTTCATCTGACTTAAACTTTAGCTCCTAGAAACCATTTAATTTTGCCTTTCGCAAAAAGGCCAAATTCCATTATTTTGGCATACATTTTTTATTAAAATACCGAATGATTTGAAATTTAACCCATTTATGACCCCTATTAGTACCTACAATTCTGTCAAAAAAAGTTTTAATTTTTTTACATACAGGTGGCGCTGCAATTTTTTTTCTTCGAAAGTAGACGTTTTTTGAAGACAAAAAATTCTCTTAAGCAACAATACTCAAAAAAACTAAATAGCGTATCAGATAATATAGATATTCCTTTATAATTCGACATATAAAAATTTACTTGCAAATTTGCATCATTAATGATGTTGCCGTCCGTAAAGCCAATTTAAAGTTTGGTCTACCGCATTAAAAAAATTGAATTACACTTTCAACTCTATCCTTATTTATAAACTAAGGAACTCCAGGTAATGGCTTTTATTGGTAACTAAAACGCAACAAAAAAAAGTTTTATTTTTTTATATACAGGGGGCGCTGCAGCCTTTTTTCAAAAATAGACGTTTATAAAGACCATAAACTTACTTTTACTTAAAAGCAACATTGCTTAAAAAACTAATGACATTATTTATAATGTATAAGATAATATAGATATTCTTTTATTGTTTGACATATAAAAATTTATTAGAAATAATTAATGCCTGTTGTAGGGACGATTACAATAATTGTATATATATAATTATTATAACTAGTGCACGTACCCGCATATTGTTATATAAACGCCTTTTTTCGCTTTTATTGTTGTATGCGCACAAAAGGTAACAAAACCAAAGAAATTTTAATTACAAATGGTAAGTATTTCAGTGACTCTAAAGTAATAGTAATAGTAATATGACCATTTGTTTAAATATATTTTAGTATATTTCGAGAGGCAAAGCATTCTTTATTATTGTATACGTACTCTCTAAAAGTGAAACAGTGAAATTTTCACTATTTCCGTCAGTGACAATATAAATTAGTGAAATTTTAACTTCTCCAAATTAGTATTTTTTATTATAACTACTTTTCCGGAACTCTCGACATAAAATAGTGAAATTGTAACTTTTTTAAACTAAACCCATTTCACTAATTTGTAAAGTGTAATTTCCACTAAATAAATTAGTGCAAAGAAATCGCTACATGAAAAAGTGAGTATTCACTAATTGCTAGTGGGATACTTATCACTGCGGCAAATAGTTAATATGCACTGTCAATCAGTGAAAATCCACTGTTTCATTTTTAGAGAGCTCTCTAAAAGTGAAATAGTAAATTTTCACTATTTCTGTCCGTGAGTTATTATTCACTGTAAAATTAGTGTTTTTCAATATAAATTAATGAAATTTTAACTTCTCCAAATTAGTGTTTTTTATTATCACTACTTTTCCGGAACTCTTTACATAAAATAGTGAAATTTTAACTTTTTTGAACTAAACCTATTTCACTCATTTGTACAGTGTAATTTCCACTAAATAAATTAGTGCAAAGAAATCGCTACATGAAAAAGTGAGTATTCACTAATTGCTAGTGGTATACTTATCACTGCGGCAAATAGTTAATATGCACTGTCAATCAGTGAAAATGGGAAAAATTGGCGATCTCCTTCTATTTGTAGGTAAGTCCCCGATTCATAAAGAAAATATAAAAAATAATAAAGTAATTAAAGTTTCGTACAATAAGCTATACGAAATTAAACAAAAGTTTTCAAATTTTTTTTTTTCCAATAAATTCTAAAATATGTAGAAAATGTTACAAAATCCTTGTTTTTGACAAAAATATCATATACGAAGCTGAAAATCAATCCACTGAAGATAAAGATATAGACTGGGTACCTCCCGTATTAATTTTCGATGAAGACAATGCTAAAAACCTCAAAGAAAAACTTGACAAATTAACCAATTTATTAGGAATGGAGCGAATAAAATTTCAAATTAATTCAGCCATTAAAAGTATTTCCGTACACAGTATGGTATTTTAAAAATTATCTAGACCAACTTATTGATACAACACAAAACCTTTTTTAAGACTGTGTGGCCCCAGGACAATCGGACTTTTTAAAAGAAAAATTGACTAAACCCGAAAAGAACGAAATGTATCTTTATTATTTAATATATGCAAATCTTGCAGATAAATTTTTATATGATAAATAATAAAGAAATAGTAATATCAATAATAATAATAAAGAAAAACATAATAAATAAAATAAAGAACAAACCTATTAAATAAATAAAGGAATACGTAACTCTTTATAATAAAGGAATACATAACTATATTATCTGAAATGCTATATAGTTTTTAAAGAAAAAAGGCTGCAGCGCCCCCTGGGTGTGAAAAAAATAAATCTTTTATTTGCTTTGTTATTGTTACCAATAAAAGCAATCCCCTGGAATTCCTTATTTAATAAATAAGAATTAAGTTGTAAGTGCACTACATTACATGTAATTCAATTTTTTTTAATGCGGTAAACAGTTGGCTTTACGGGCGGCAACATCATTTGCAAGTAAATTTTTTTATATCAAATTATAAAGGAATATGTATATTATCTGGTATACTATTTAGTTTTTTTAAGCATTGTTGCTTAAGAGAGTTTTTGGTCTTCAAAAAACGTCTATTTTTGAAGAAGAAAAAATTGCAGCGCCACCTATATGTAAAAAAATAAAAAAAATTTTGGTAGAATTGTAGGTACTAATAAGGGTCATTTATGGACCACATCTCAAAACATTCAGTATTTTAATAAAATAATTATGCTAATATAATGAAATTATGGTTTTTTGAGAATGGTAAAATTAAATGGTCTCTGGGAGACAAAGTTTAGGTCAGATAAAAGAAAAATTTTAGATTTAGGGTGGAATTAGATGTATAAACACAATATTAAAATATAAAAAAAATCTGAGATGTGTTATAAAAAAATACCCCAAAATCGTTCGATTCTTTCGCGAAATCATAGTTAAATTTTTATATATCATAATTAAAAAAAAAATTAAATACTCATTAATGCAGAGACATACACGATGATATTTATCTGAAAGTCTTGAGTTAAAAAAAAATGCCAGACGCGAGCAAATGACTTAAGGACATTTTTTTTACATTTTTAATTACCTACTAATTAATAATGCTGCAATAATGGTACGGCAGAAGTTGTCATTAGTGACTTTTATAATCCAAACTTCATTATTTTCAACTTCTGCCACGCGAGCAAATGACTTAAAAATTTCTGCCACCAGCTCCCTAAATATTTTAATGCATCTGATACTTACATTAGATTATTCAATGCTTAAAACTTATCAAATATATTTTTTTAGAATGGATATAAAATTACAGAAGCTGCTTTTTGGACTGGTGTTAATAGTTATGGTGAAATTAAGTCATGAAAAAGTGTCTCTATGTAATTCCAAGTTGTTAAATGAATGTTTTTGTGGACATTCGTTTATAGATACACAAAGCATGTTTGTTGTAAACTGCACAAATACACATTTTACTTCAACAGAAATGTTGCAAGAACTTCCAGAGGAGACCAACATGTTGATATTTACAGGAAACCATATACCCACCTTGCCAATGAACGTTTTTGGCACAGCTTTAGACTTAAGTGCATTAAAAATTATTGACATGAGCAACAATGGCATAACAGATGTCAAAGGAAAAGCATTTCACCACGTTGAAAATGTTGAAAGATTAATTTTAAATCATAACAATATTTCTATAAGCAGCAATTTAGATATCAATTATCATCACCCCAGGGTTTTTTCTAATTTTGTTAACCTTGAAGAGCTACATTTAACTAATGCTTTTGCTGATAATACTGATGCAGCCCTTGCTGATGACTTGCATGATATATTTGTCAATAGTAATTTAACAAAGCTATATAAACTGCATTTAGAACAGAATGAAATTAAGTATTTTAAAGATGAGAATGTTTTTTGTGACCTACCAAACTTACATGATGTATATTTGGGTCAAAATAGAATTCCAAGTTTAAATTTTAACTTAAATTGTCTTAAAAAGTTGAGATATTTGGACTTGGAAAGCAATAACATAACAAGGTTTTCACAGAGGGACTTGGATGCTTTTGAGAGATTAGCTGAACCCTTTAGACCCCAAAACCTGATATTAGACATTGAACATAATCCTTTCAAATGTGATTCAGCTGTTAAAAATCTGTACAACTGGTTACACAAAACAAAAGTTGAAGTCAGAAATCTAGAAAGATTAGAGTGTCATCAATCAAAATATGGTACAAAATACATTATGAATTTAAAAAACTTGGCTGAAGCCAAGCATGCTACAATATCACGCTCTTTAACAGTATTATTAGTTGTATTAGTGTTAGTTTTGATTACTTTATTAGCTGCATATGCTTATTTAAAGAAGGATTCTGTTAGAAATAAATTAAGTCCAATATTTGACGCAGTTTCTAGAAAAGTACACTACACAACCATCGAATCTCAGGAGGTTTAGCTTTTTTCGTTTTTGAATGTGATACCTACATTAAAGGGGAATACCCCTGTGAGTTGTTTATAAGTAAATGTAAATGTATATCTGAACCCCCAGAGCCAAACTCTATCCACTTTTGTCAAAAGTGACATTTTTCATGTTTTTCCCCGCTCTTTCCAATGGTAAACCGAACTAAGCACTGGCCTACTTAGTTTTTAATATAGCAGTGTAAAAATGATATAAAGTCCACACCTCGCTTATGGCCATATATATTTTTGGTTCTAATAAATTTAAAGTTTAAGTGGTCCCATAATACTGTTTAGAACGGCAAGATTAAACTATAATAATATTAATTCCAATGTTTGTGGGACTTATTAATTATTTTAGTGCCATATAATGTCCAGTTGTAAAGTAAGAAGAACCCCTGTTCAATTTTGGTATTAATTCACCTAATTATTGAGTCCATCATATAGCTTTTGCTCTCCTGAACAATTTTAAAAGCGTGACAATACAGTCTGATTCCGAGGTACAGATATTTGAACTAGTACTGTAAAATTAAAAGCTGATATGTTATCTGTGCTAAGCAAAAGGGTGGTAACTGCATTATAATGTATTATCTAATATTTTAGATAGCTTTTGAGTCTACAGATCTATATATTTATAAATATATATATTTATATATAACTTATTCATTAGAAGTTTATGGATTTGAAATTTGTATAGAAATTATAAGCCACTATTTTTTAAAACCGGTTAAACCGGAAGTGATATCAACTTTGGTTTTTCAAATGGAACAATATAAATATTATTGCATTTTTGAATTCTACGTAAAATTCTAAAAACACTAAAATTTGAATAGGTATTTCTTTTTATTTTTAACAGTTTTTGAGATATTTTTTTTTTTAAATTTTGACAGATGTTTATTTTATGTGTACCTGTTAAATAACTAGCACTCTATCGAAAGCCAAATAGTATTTGAAAATTTTATACAGATTGTCTGGTATTAACGTTGTCTTTTCTGTCACTTTAAATACCAATAACTTCATAAATACGAAATAAAAGACAATCCATCGCACACTACTCATATTAGAAATAAAAAAAATAGGCGGTTTTTTCACATTTTTTGTAATATAGGTATCTGTAAATATTCATTTTAGGTATAGGGAATGCTGCAGCTTTTCAATAGAACACATTATTTCGAATGATGTGAAAATTGTATGGCAGCCCTGTTAAAAATCACCCATAAAGACCAATAGAAAAGCTATTGGGATTTTCCAGCGGTAGCTCTATTGGTTTGAATTGGTCTCAATAGTGGTATCTGTACCTTGAATCACCAATTCAAACCAATAGCGACACCGCTGGAAAATCCCAATACAGACCGATAGAGACTAATCGAATTTCCCAATAGAGAATGATAGAGGTGAATTAAATGTTAATGGTAATTCCCAATAGAAGAGCTATTTGGATTTTCCAAAGGTACCGCTATTGGTTTGAATTGGTCCCCACTATCCATTTTAGACGTCTTTAAGGTAAAAAATTACGTGTTTTGATGGTTAAATAATTTATCAAAATTAGTGCTGTTTAACATTTAATTTAAATTTTATAAATAGCTTCTTCTAAAAGTAAGTAGTACCAGTACGGAAATTACCAATAGAAACCAATGCTCATTCTGTTGAGAAACCAATAGGCCCAATAAAGACCAATTCATTCCATTCAGATTTTGTATTGGTTTCTATTGGTCTCTATGGGTGATTTTTAACAGGGAGTTTCATTTGAAATAAGAATGTTATTGGTACCTATTTAAAGTTACAAAAAAGTTAACATAAACACCAGACACCCTGTATAAAATTAAATACTATTAATGGCTTCCCTGCTTAAAATACCCCATATATGGTCAGGGTCTCTATAGAGACCCTGTTCAAACCGATAGATATTCGTATCGGAATGTATGGTGTTTCTATATACGGTGTATCGGTATGTATAGCACCCATAGTTGGGATTTATGGTTGTTCTATAGGAATATCCACCATTGATTTATTTGCTATTGGTTTCAATGGGGAAAATACACATAAATTTAAAAATTAGTTTTTCCCCATAGGACCCCATAGGTTTTAATAAAATTTTGTCAAATGTTTTATGGTTGCTCTATAGGGATATCCCTATATATTCTTCATTGAGTTATTTGCTATCGGTCTCAATGGGGAAAATGTAAAAGTTATGGTGTGCCTATAGGTAATTTTCCATACATTTTCTATCGGGCCGTACCCTGCTTAAAATACCCCATAGAGACCTATACAAAATAATCTATCGGGCGCTACCGGATTCAATATGTGCATTTGTCCATGGTCCGCTACCGGATACGGCCCGATAGAAAATGTATAGGAAATTACCCATAGGCACACCATAACATTTAAATTTTCCCTATTGAGACCGATAGAAAATAACTCAATGAAGGATATATCGGTTTGAACAGGATCTCTATGGGGTATTTTAAGCAGGGTATCCGGAAAAAACCATGGACAAATGCACATATTGAATCCGGTAGCGCCCGATAGATTATTTTGTATAGGTCTCCTTATAAGGAGCATTCTATCGAAACCCTGCTAAGTTAACAGGTACACCAAAAATTAAATGTTTAACATTACAATTAGTGGCAATACAGACATATTAGTAAGACCATCAATCTGTCAAATTTTAAAAAAAATTAAATATCTCAAAAACTGTAAAAAATAAACAGAATATTAAAATTTTTGGTATTTTACGTAGAATTCAAAAAAGCAATATTTATATGGTTCAATTTGAAACACTACCACTATGTAAAAGTCACATTTCGTAATGGCATCGTTGCTTAAAAAATGAATCTTTTCATTGGCAAGGCAAAACACGAATGTAAAGTGACATTTCTGTGTGAAAAGTGATAGATCTGTGTGAAAAGAAATTGACAGCATCGTTTGACATTCGTTTCAAAATTTGTATACAAAATAATCTATCGGGCGCTACCGGATTCAATATGTGCATTTGTCCATGGTCCGCTACCGGATACGGCCCGATAGAAAATGTATAGGAAATTACCCATAGGCACACCATAACATTTAAATTTTCCCTATTGAGACCGATAGAAAATAACTCAATGAAGGATATATCGGTTTGAACAGGATCTCTATGGGGTATTTTAAGCAGGGTATCCGGAAAAAACCATGGACAAATGCACATATTGAATCCGGTAGCGCCCGATAGATTATTTTGTATAGGTCTCCTTATAAGGAGCATTCTATCGAAACCCTGCTAAGTTAACAGGTACACCAAAAATTAAATGTTTAACATTACAATTAGTGGCAATACAGACATATTAGTAAGACCATCAATCTGTCAAATTTTAAAAAAAATTAAATATCTCAAAAACTGTAAAAAATAAACAGAATATTAAAATTTTTGGTATTTTACGTAGAATTCAAAAAAGCAATATTTATATGGTTCAATTTGAAACACTACCACTATGTAAAAGTCACATTTCGTAATGGCATCGTTGCTTAAAAAATGAATCTTTTCATTGGCAAGGCAAAACACGAATGTAAAGTGACATTTCTGTGTGAAAAGTGATAGATCTGTGTGAAAAGAAATTGACAGCATCGTTTGACATTCGTTTCAAAATTTGTATACAGGGTGTCCCAAAACTCAACGATATCCTTTGGAGGACTGATATACCAACTCATGACTAAGCAGAAAATCAAAATATGACCTTGGTAAAAAATCGTTAGTTTTTGAGATATAGTAATTAAGGTCATGTTTTGATATTCTGATTAGTCCTGAGCTGACCTATTAGTCCTTCAATGTATGTCTAAAGATTATTTAGAACACAATTAATTGTGTTTGTATAATAAATTCTAATTTTTAGTGCCTTTATTTAAATTGGGAAGGTAAGTTTATTGATTTTAAGTAAATTATATCTTAAAAATTAAAAGAATAAGATGAAAGTAAATTTAACAGCTGTCAAACACGTTTTTAGTTTTTTTGTTCTGTATTTGAAAATAATAAAAAAAAGTGTCGTAGAAGAAATATTGTGTTTCACTTGTGAGAAAAGCTTTCTTTAAGCTCGTGTTAATGCACACTCGGCCTGACGGCCTCATGAGCAACTTTTCAACACTTGTAAAACAAATAACTATTGTTATTGTTATACAAATTTTAAATCGATATCTTTTTCCGTTCTCCATAAACTTCTAGACTCACCCTTGTAAAATCTTTATTTATTGTGCGATTTTAACCGGATTTGTTTTAAACTGTAGATATTAATAAACTGTATTTTTGAAGCAAATTACAAGGAATAGTACCATGTTATTATTAGTTTAATTTTATTTCAATGTTTTTTTCATGGATAACTTGACAAAATAAATTTTTAAAGATATTTTTGTGCATTTTTTTTCTTAAAATGTTTCAATAAATTTTAGTATAGGATAGTATTGAGGGGTGGTAAATCCAGTGCCGTGCTTAGATTTTGTTTAAAAAAATCGCTAATATATATGAATTCTTAAAAGTTTACTCTTAAAAACTGACATAGTAGGCCTTGTATTTTGTACTAATATGGCGTCTTTTAATCCAAAAATACAGTTTATCAAGATCTACACTTATAAACAAATCTGGTTAAAATCGCACAATAAATAAAGATTTTACAGGGGTGAGTTGCAAACAAATGGGTCACACTGTATATATATATATATATATATATATATATATATATATATTAAATCACGTTATAAATAAAAAAAAACAGGACTTCAACCTCTTTTTCATGAAAATAGTGGAATAATTTAGGCAAAAACTATGCACTGTAATTTAAAAAAAATGGACTTATAGTTTGGCTCTGCGGTACAGATATACCTATATATATTGACATAATCGCAGGGACATATTGATGAATTCTTATGAATAATTATTATTAGTAGTAGTAAGATATCTATATTTCTAATTTATTGAATTTTATGATTGGTTCAAACGCGGTAGCCTCAAAAAGTATTTTCCATCTACCTGATAAGTCTAAATTATTTTTATGTGCCTAGTTCATAATCAATCAATTTAGTGTTGAGTCTTGACAACAATAGAGTTAAATTTATAGACCGATTGAACTTCAATCATTAAATATAAAAAAATTAATGACCTTAAAAGTATACATGGCGGTCTGAAAATGGCGAACTTACGGTATTCCACGCTGTAGGGGAAATTATTTTAAAATATAAATATAATAAACATGGAACATTTTAGACGATGTATCACACATCTACGAACAACTACCTATATAGGTAGCTCAAAAAATATGAATAACAAAAATAAAATTCAATTTTAAAAACTAATAGTCGGAAAAAAGTATTTAATATTTTTATAATTAAAATAGTCCATCACGTTGTATGGCGTTAGTGCGCAATTTTCGAGGCACCCTGTATAATTCGGTAACAGCTTTCCCTTTGAATTGGAAATAAGTACCTAAATGTAAAACCTCACAATGGAATTAAAAAACTACCTTAGTTTTTTAATTTAGATTCGTAAAAATTATCAATTTGTTGATGCCAAATTTATTAATATTTAAAAAAAAATACTGTAAATTACTTTAATTAGTCTAGTCTTTATGATGTAATATCTAGATGTTTTTATAATTTTTTTATTAATTGTTGACTATTAATATTTAAATATTTTTAATGAAAAATGTGTGCTTAAATTATCCAAATTTATTAAAAGATTTGTAAATAATTAATAAAACTGCATTAACAGTGCTTGTACATATTTGTATATAAGCCATACAAAACTAATTAAGTATGTTCCTAATTTTGATAATAAATATATAAAAAAATAAAGGTTTTAATTTTCCGTTTCTTTTATGGTAAATATGCTAAGGAGAGACTCACTTGATATGAGAGGAGGTATGTAGCTCAAAAAATATGAATAACAAAAATAAAATTCAATTTTAAAAACTAATAGTCGGAAAAAAGTATTTAATATTTTTATAATTAAAATAGTCCACCACGTTGTATGGCGTTAGTGCGCAATTTTCGAGGCACCCTGTATAATTCGGTAACAGCTTTCCCTTTGAATTGGAAATAAGTACCTAAATGTAAAACCTCACAATGGAATTAAAAAACTACCTTAGTTTTTTAATTTAGATTCGTAAAAATTATCAATTTGTTGATGCCAAATTTATTAATATTTAAAAAAAATACTGTAAATTACTTTAATTAGTCTAGTCTTTATGATGTTTTTATAATTTTTTTATTAATTGTTGACTATTAATATTTAAATATTTTTAATGAAAAATGTGTGCTTAAATTATCCAATTTTATTAAAAGATTTGTAAATAATTAATAAAACTGCATTAACAGTGCTTGTACATATTTGTATATAAGCCATACAAAACTAATTAAGTATGTTCCTAATTTTGATAATAAATATATAAAAAAATAAAGGTTTTAATTTTCCGTTTCTTTTATGGTAAATATGCTAAGGAGAGACTCACTTGATATGACAGGAGGTATGTCTCCTTAAAATAAAAATATTATTTTTAATTAATTAAGAACTTAAGTCAATTGACTAGATTTTTATTGTATTTATTTGTACAGGTCTAGACAGCTGTTAAACAAATACAATTAATAAGCTGTGTTAAAAGTTCTTAATAAAAAAAGCACTATAGTATATATGGCTCAAAATTTCTCAAGTGTGCCACTTAAAAATTGATGGTCTAATTTTTCATCAATTAATATGGTTTTCAATCGGTTTAGGAGTAAAAACAACTGCCCTAAAATATTTTTGCAAAAAATCGATTTTTACAATACTTATTGATAATTACGTTTTTTGTGGATGTTTTTTTCAAAAATTGATTACTCCCGAACGGTTTATCAAAACTTAACATTTTTTATATCAAAATTTTCGTTGAAAAATATACTTTAAGATAAAAAATTTGTTGTTAGTGGCAAACCTTTAAAAAAAACAAAAGAAAACTTTTTTTTTAAACAATTGAAAATTAATAAAACTTCTCCGCCTGCCAGGAATGTTTTTCACATTTTTTCTGATTTTACAATCCCTTACGAAAATTTTGGTGAAAAAAAAAGTTATTATTTTTTAATAGGTCAAAAGTTATAAATGATTTTGTAACCGCGCGCGCTCCGACCTCTAGCGCTGGACGAGCACGTTCAGACGCGCGCGCGCTCAGCCATCGTGCGACTTAAAACTCGAGATATTCATGATTTTCTGCCACAAGGAGCTACAAAACAATTTTTTATTTTATAGAAAAAATCCATGATTTCTTCAACATTGTTTATTTGCAAAATTTAAAAAAAAAACAATTTTCTTAAGAAAAATTGGACTGCTTAATCGAACGTTAATACAAAAAAGAACAGTTTCATGTATAAATTATCGTAATTGCTTTTGTTTGACCGGAAAATATTCTGCACAATAATTTGTTTTTTGGAGGCTGGTAACAATGAAACGAACCTGTTTGACTTATCGTTTTTACATTCAAGAATCGTGATTTTAAGAATTCTCTATGCTTTTCATGCTCTTCATTGGTACAAATATGAAAATGAATTTTTTTGAAAAATTGTTTTGCCCACTCGAACAATCGCTCGGGAGATGTTAATAATCAGAATGGATCAGAATATCAAAAAAATTTCATTTCACCAGTGGATCTCGACTGATAGGTAAACATTTTTTACTTCCTATTTGCAAAAATAATTATAGGGACTTGCTAACAGTGTGTACATGCACAACCTTTTTTACAGATGTCAATTTTCAGTGGTCACAGAATCAAGAAAAGTTTTTTTGGAAAACCTTGCAAAAGATTTGTTGGTGCTTTTGAAACATGATTTTATAGCAACATCCCAGGCAAAATATTTTGCGAAACTTAAAAATACCATAGGCGAAATTTATTGTTACTGAAGATTTTTCAGAAAATTATACATTTAAAATACAAAATGAAATTCAGTCACAACATTGGTGCAAAGGTAAAATCATGCTTCATGTTTTTGTTGTCTATTACAGGGAAAACAATGTTTTGCAAGATAGGAATTTCGTAATTTTTTCGGAAAATCTGCAGCACGATTCAGTAGCTGTACATTTGTTCAACGGGAAACTGATTTCTCATTTAAAGGAAAAATTCGGCCAAAGAAGAATTAAGAAAATATTTTATTTTTCGGATGGGGCAGCGTCACAATATAAAAATAAGTACAATTTTTAAATTTGATTAATCATAAAAAAGATTTCGGAATCGATGCAGAGTGGCACTTTTTTGCTACGTCCCACGGCAAAGGTGCTTGTGATGGAATAGGAGGTACCGTCAAAAGACACGCGTATTTTACAAGTTTGCAAAAAGATACGGATTTATTATTAACATCTCCCGAGCGATTGTTCGAGTGGGCAAAAAAATTCATTTTCATCTTTGAACCAATGAATAGCATGAAAAGCATAGAGAATTCTTAAAATCACGATTCTTGAATGTAAAAACGATAAGTCAAACACGTTCGTTTCATTGTTACCAGCCTTCAAAAAACAAATTATTGTGCAGAATATTTTCCGGTCAAACAAAAGCAATTACGATAACTTATACATGAAACTGTTCTTTTTTGTATTAACGTTCGATTAAGCAGTCCAATTTTTCTTAAGAAAATTGTTTTTTTTTAATTTTGCAAATAAACAATGTTGAAGAAATCATGGATTTTTTCTATAAAATAAAAAATTGTTTTGTAGCTCCTTGTGGCAGAAAATCATGAATATCTCGAGTTTTAAGTCGCACGATGGCTGAGCGCGCGCGCGTCTGAACGTGCTCGTCCAGCGCTAGAGGTCGGAGCGCGCGCGGTTACAAAATCATTTATAACTTTTGACCTATTAAAAAATAATAACTTTTTTTTTACCATAATTTTCGTAAGGGATTGTAAAATCAGAAAAAATGTGAAAAACATTCCTGGCAGGCGGAGAAGTTTTATTAATTTTCAATTGTTTAAAAAAAAAAGTTTTCTTTTGTTTTTTTAAAGGTTTGCCACTAACAACAAATTTTTTATCTTAAAGTATATTTTTCAACGAAAATTTTGATATAAAAAATGTTAAGTTTTGATAAACCGTTCGGGAGTAATCAATTTTTCAAAAAAACATCCACAAAAAACGTAATTATCAATAAGTATTGTAAAAATCGATTTTTTGCAAAAATATTTTAGGGCAGTTGTTTTTACTCCTAAACCGATTGAAAACCATATTAATTGATGAAAAATTAGACCATCAATTTTTAAGTGGCACACTTGAGAAATTTTGAGCCATATGCAATATACTGTTAGATACCTTTATAACCAAATTGATTAATACGTAGCTATTTAAAACTCCATGTCGTGGGTATACCTGCAGAGGAAACGTGTTTTAGATGGAAGAATTCACATATCAATAAATGTGTTCTTGTGAAATTTGCCCTGTAGCGGTTTCGGTAATTACTCACGATACAAAAAATAAATTACTAAGTTAGTAATAATTATTACTGACTTACTAGTCAAACAATGCACTTTTGTTTCGTTCACATAAAGTTTATGAAAAAAAGACTTTGTAAGGCTTTTAATTTAAAATTTTGAAATATTTTACTATAAAAAAACATTTTAAAAGCCGTATAAAAAATTCATATATAAATATATGATTTTTTGTGAACGTGCTAATAAGTAGGTAAAATCTATTTATATATATATATATATGTAGGTTTCCACGGGCGTTATATGTATGAGTGGTTTTTCGGGATCTGCTCCGTGTTGTCGGTTGTCGGTCTGACGACATTTCGGTACAATCTCATGTACCATCTTCAGGTCTTATCTGCTGGGCTGCTGTTGCTGCTCTGCTGTGAGTTAGACGTGAAAAACTAATAGTCGGAACAAATATTGAATATTTTTACAATTTAAATAGTCCATCACGTTGTATGGCGTTAGTGCGCAATTTTCGAGGCACCCTGTATAATTCGGTAACAGCTTTCCCTTTGAATTGGAAATAAGTACCTAAATGTAAAACCCCACAATGGAATTAAAAAACTACCTTAGTTTTTAAATTTAGATTCGTAAAAATTATCAATTTGTTGATGCCAAATTTATTAATATTTAAAAAAATATACTGTAAATTACTTTAATTAAATTTAAATGCTTTTAAACCTAGTCTTTATGATGTAATATCTAGATGTTTTTATAATTTTTTTATTAATTGTTGACTATTATTATTTAAATATTTTTAATGAAAAATGTGTGATTAAATTATCCAAATTTATTAAAAGATTGTAAATAATTAATAAAACTGCATTAACAGTGCTTGTACATTAGGGTGGTGCGAAATATGAATATTTTTAAAATTGAAAACTCCTGTATGTAGAAAACTTGTGCATGATAAAATTAAATATTTTGGTGATAAAAAATAATATTTTTTTAATTCCTTCCATCACCCCAGAGGCATCTTAAATATAAAAATAATAATATTCAGGCGAGGGTAGAAAACGGTTAAAAACAATTTTTTTTTGAGCCAAGGTTGTTTTGCTTGTTTATTTTTTGAAAATTGAAGTGCTCAGCTTTAAAAAACTTACTCATACTCAAAATAAACAACTTAGCTCAAAATTTTTTTAATGTTACCGTTTTTTGCCCCAGCTCTAATATTATAAATTTTTATGTTTGCCATGGCTCTGGGGCAGTGAAAGGATTTTTTTAATAATATTTTTACTAAAATGTTTATTTTTCCAAAATTGGACACTTTCATTTTCAAAGAAGACAAACCAAATCAGCGGATCCCCGCTTAGTCTGAAATATGA